GTGAGAATATTTACAGCTCCTCTTTTTCACACATAGGTGCCCTGCGCTGCTCGTGGTTGGTGACACATCACCTGCAGTGGAGGCTGTGGTGAGTGACACTCCATCATCTCAGGAGCTGAAGCAGCTTTGGGAAGCATTTGCAGTTATTTATCTTTTTCTGAGCTCCATACTTATCCCTCATTGATATTCAGGTGGAGTGCAATTCCAGGTTAAATCCTACCAAGACCACACTGTTAAAGGTGAAGCTTCATGTAATACGTCTGTTAATGAAAAAAAATGTTTTGACTGTACAAAGAATTTTTTCATGAGACTGATCATTTTCTCTCAGATGGCTGATTGTGGAGGCTTGCCCCAGGTTGTGCAGGTGGGTTTTTGTTTGTTGAGAAACACATCTAGCCATTTTTCTTGCCTAAATCAGCTTCTAACTTTTACCCTTTATCTGTTCACAGCCAGGGAAACTTGCTGAGGCCTTCAAGTACTTTGTTCAGGGAATGGGCTACAGTAAGTAAACATGCTCACACGACTTTTGCTACTTAAAAACATCTATACATAAAATGATACTGGTTCAAACTAGTCGACTCTACATTGAGTGTCCAAGTGTTGTTTACAGATTAACAGCTTTTTGGTCTGACGCGTTTGTGGTCAAGGTTTCGCTGAATTTCCTGTTGATGCGAGTGCAATGACAAAAGTTACTAAATGAGTATTTTTTTCACTGCAGTCTCCTATGAGCTGTAGCTAAACACCCCTGCTGATGGGGTTTGGATTGCAGCCAGCAGTGCATGAAAAGACACAGTTTTTTGTCAGCCTGGTCACGGAGAGGTAGCCCGAGCGGCTCTGTGGACGCTAACACCATTTCCTCTCTGCTCTTTGCAGTGTGTGGCCCCCACAACCCTAAGTAGGTGAGGTGTAAGTGCTCGTAGCATGACTGAAATGACAGTGGCACTCGAGATATGCTCAACAGCAGTTTGGAGTGGGCGTCAAAAAATACCCTTTTTGTTCTTTTGTGTGGCCTGGTGTGCTTTTGTTTTCTATCCACCAATGTTTAATGATGCGGTCTCATTTCTAGAGAGACTCAAAGTGCATACTTAAACAGGCCTTCAGGTTTTTACAGTCATTCATCTGCAAGGAAAAACAACACACAACACATTTCTATCAGACTATACTGGCCAGCAGTGTACCAACCAGACTCTGCTCCATGGATGGATGAAGTCATGAATGTAGGTTTGCTTGCTCTGGCCCTACAGATGATGCCTATCTCTGTGTGTGTATTTCTGTAATGCTAATTCTCTTCTTGCTCTCCCCGTTCCCAAACCCTTCACTGTGGGGCGCACCCATGGGTGTAGCTAGTGTATGTCAGTGCCTCAGTGTTGCTTTAAAGTCCACCAAGTCCCCCTGTTGAGTAAATGCCACTGCAGGATTAGAACAGATTAAAAAGAGTGTTTTCACGCGGAGACAGTGTGGAAAATAAATCTTAACGCCTCAGCATGTTTCAGAAAGCTGCTTTTCCCTCATTAACACGTTGCCACCGTGTGAAATGCCAAAGAGAAACAGCCAAAGAGTACAGGAAATCAAGATCGTAGTTTGCACACGTGCTAGATTTCTTACCTGTTGTTGTTGGCAACCAGCGTTTTGTCCTCAACGACCTCTACGCTGCGGCAGAGCCTCAGTTTGAATCAGAAATACACTGAGGTGGGATAAAGCAACATGAGAACTACCTTTTCAACATTTCTCCCTTTCTCCTTTTTCTTCCTCCTTAAACCATTGCTTACAGTTCCCTACGTTCTTCTCAGTCACCTGAGCAACGAATCAGGTACCGGGTTTTTGAGCAGCTGCCAGACTAGAAGGCTTTGGACCCAATGGCCTCTTTAACACTCCTCAGTGGATAAATGTCAATGTATGCAGAAATTCTCCAGAGAGCACTGTTTCATATTGGTATTCAACAGCAGCTCAGTGTGGTGGATACAGTCAGTATTATGCACAGTGAGATCATTCTGCATACTTTGACACGTGTTCATCCCCATGTAGGAGTTGTTCCTGTTAGCATGGATTCAGTCCTCAGTGTCCTGTTTTGTTGCATGGCCTGCTGGTGTTGCTTCTTGTCAGTTTAGTTGCATTGCAAATGCTGTTGTATTGTTTTCATGTTGTTGTTTTTTTTGTCAGTTTAAAGTAGACACACATGCAGTCATTTTCTCTTTCGCATTTCTTTTATTTGATGAGTTTTCATATTTGAGAATTGTGGTTTGCATGGTAAGCACTCTGTTGTTTTTTTGCATCTGGGTACCCAAATGTTCCCACAGTAAGTCTCAGTGCTGTGTGAGTGGAATATTAATGAGCGTCTCTCTTTTTCAGTGCCGTCAGCAGGAATGACTCGTCTGGCTCGCTCACGCACCGCCTCCTCTTCCAGCATCACCTCCATGGACAGCAGTCGCAGCCGCAACAACCTCAACAGCCTGCTGGAGGGCAGTGCTACTGGGGCCCTGGACAACCATGCTGGACCCCAGACCATGGAGGTCTCCTGCTAAACTCCGCCCCCATCCCCTGCACACTCTCATAGTAATTTATGTGCCCTCTCTTTCTCTCTGTCCCTCTATCTATCTTATCTATCTATCTATCTATCTCTCTCATCCTGCTCCTAAACAACTCACCGCGAGGAGGATCTGTAATGAACTATGTGATTAGAAAAGAGGATGTAATAAATATATTAACAGATGCATATTATTGAGTATTGAATACACGTCACATTCCTACCAGAAACCATAACTACATTCAAATGGTCAAGCTATAAGATTGACTCAACTGTCCAACCTCACCCCTATGTATTTATTTTTTTCACATTGTCTTTGTTTGTTTAAATGTCTTCACACACACACACTGTAGAAATCCATGAGTTCAAAATAACTTTTCATTGCACGGTACAACACTTTTACTATTTCTCTTCTGTTGTGAACCCGTGTGGGCTGCATTGATTGGGAGTCACAGTATCTTTGTGTTTTAATCACAAACTTGCTGCACTGTGATGCTGAATTAGTCACAAAGTATACAGAGGGATCACTAAAACTGCTGTAGCTACAGAAATGTGATGTGCATGATACATGGAAGAACCATTGCAGACTGTAGCACACAAAGTAAAAATACACTGAAGCTGTTGTTGTTGAGAGCTGCTTTTGAACATTATGAAATAACATTCAGTGTTAAGTAAAAGTCCTGTACCATGTTTAACTCTGTCACATGCATTCATTTAATGTTTTGTTTTTTGTAATTGGACTCTGTAATTTTCCTTTTCTTTCTGCTTTGTGTTATTTTTGTTCAGTTGAATAGTTTATTCAGATGTTTTAACAACCTTTAACAACTTCTGATGTGAAAAGTGAGAGTCCTTTAACTGAGGGGCCCAGTGGTGCTTCTCACTGTCTGCTGATTCAACTCATTTATATTAGTACTGAATAAAGCTACAACATGACATATCTGGTGTTTTCATTTATCATCACATTGCCAATAAGTCTGCCTGCCAAGTGCACATAGATTGTCAGTGGTGTGAATATTTGAATGAAAGAAAGCAGAGTACTGTATATCTGCAGCGAGGCGAACATTTCTGTTTTTCCTCTTCTGTTAGTGGAAAAGTGAGGTGACTGTGGTGAGTTAGTTTCCAGCCCACACATGTTCTTTTTTCTTCACAGTGACACAGATGATGTAGTCTATATTTAGCACACTAAAAAAACAATGATCAGCTGCACTGAGACATAAGATGAGATTGACTTCAAACAAAAAAACATACAGGATGTCCAAGCGCTAAATGCTAATCTAATGTTCATATCTCCCACTGAGGCTTCTCTTATCGTTCTTGGTTGTTCACTGTGTGACACAAATTTCCTCAGTTAATGGCAAAGAGAAATGAGCTTCTCACTAAGTACATACAGCGGTGGACACTAATATCTGTACGGTTTGGTGCAATGCTATGCAACAATCCAGCAATGAATACTGTCTGTTCGTATTGATCTTTGTTGTTGAATTAACACTGGTGATTACCTGGCACTTCATGGTGCTGGATTGGTTCGCAGTGTACTACTGTCTAACCCCCTGTGTCCACTAAAATCTAAACCATTTAAGTTAATACGCTTGTATTTAATTTTCAATCTGATCAAAACCTATACCATAGAAAAGTGGAGATCGATAACAAATTTAGAAATAGGAAATGTGTAGTATTTGGTGAATCAATTTAGAAAACCATTTGAGAATGTGATATGGGTTGATTAATGTTGATAAGTTCTTTTCCGTCCATGCTAACATGTGGTTCTCGATATGAAGCAGAAATCTGATCTGTTCTGGAAAAGATTATTTCATTGTTTCCAGTTACGATACAGGTGTTCTAATTCAAATCGTTTCTGACATCTCTGATGCACATACACTTTGTATAGCTTTGGGCTATTATTGTTAATTTTCTTTGACCTCTTCATACCCAATCACTCATATTGCTCCACTACTGCTCTGTTTCATTGACTGCAGTGTATGGTGAATGGACTTGTGACTGCTGATAAATCAGGGCAGGAGAAGGCTGACAGGGGAACCTCTGTCATGCTTCTGCAGAGGTTTGACTCTTATCTGATGTTCGCATCATTTTAACACCGCTGGCAGTAAATTAATGTGAGAGTTCTGGACTGAAAGGGAAAATGTGGCCAACATTTCCCACCAACCAGACATCACGGTTCAGCTGCAAAAGCTAAAGGCAGATAAAATGTAGTTTAAACCTGTGCAAAACTAATTTACACAACTGTCTGTGTGAAATGATGTCACTGCTTCAACCCACCACATGACATTGCGAGCTGTACACGTACATGTACATGCAAATGCTTCTCACGTAGACATGCAGCTCATTACATAAACAAGTGATGCATTATTAGCCCCACTTGAAAACATTCAGCATCAAGCTGTTCTGAGTCAGGATGTCAAGGTCTCGAGCGTCACAGGAAGCTGCAGTGACATACATAAAGGCCATGCAGGAACTCTGGTCTCTGCAGTCAGCCCCCACTATAAACAGCTGCAAAGACACAGCAGTCTTCATGGGAACAGAGCAGAGGAGGGAACACAGTCACTCTGATTGATCAGCAGACGTGAGCTTAGACATATACAACAGGCATCCATGCGTATGTGTGTGTATGCTGAAGGCAGACGGGCATTTTAATCAAGATTTGGAGTTAGTTGATCTGAGGAAGGATCTGGATCAGCACTTGTGCAGGAGACCATTTCTGGCTGAACATTGAAAATTGAAGGAGGTGAGTATGTTAATTGCTCTGAGGATTTTCTTTCTTTTTAGACAGTGCCGTTTTACCTCCAGAATATTATAGTAGTATGTAATATAATAGTTAATGAATTTCCTGATATGTAATAAATAAAATAAAATAAAATAATGTAAATTATAGCAGTCATCGTGAAATACAGATGGATGAGGACAGTTGTTGTGTTTTTTTTGATTATTTAAGTAATTAAGTAGCTGCTGCTGAAAAAGTATTATGCATCATAAGAATAAAATCTAATCTTTTCATTATTTGAATCTGTACACTCATAGGAAGTAGCTTTTGTTCCTCGCAAACATGTTGCATGGAAATTTAACACAGGATATCAATGCCTCTTGTTGTGGTTAGGCGCCTTCCTGTATCATCTAGGTTTTGTTGCCAGGTTTCACAATTATGTGCAGCACCTGTAAGCTGTTTTACCGATGGCAGTTATAATGTAATAACTGGGGGATAATTAAGTTATGAATGTGAAGGTTAATGACAGCCTTAGTACACAGACCATTTTCTAATTTTGCTCCCCATCTCACTCTTTTTTTTGTTTGTTTCTGTTCAGCCATAAGAGGCATTTGAAATCAGCAAGAAGCCAAAGAACATGGGCACCTGCCCCATCAGATGTCAATCCAACCTGACAATCCTAGAAAATCCACCTGAACCTGTGTCACCAGGTAGGTTACATCTCTAAGACATCAAAATAAAGATAAAAAAAATGTAACAAACCAAACTTGGTTAAATACATTAATCTCCTTCTTTCTTGCTGCAGCCCCCCAGGAGAGCATGACTGTATCCCTCTGCAACTACCCATCCTTTGGGCATACAGAACTGACCATGTGCTTTGGGGAGAGACTCACCATCATATCAGAGTATGCAATGTAGTTCCTGATGTTTGTTCGTAACTCCCTATTATCAGACAGATAGATACGATTGGTCATGACTGCTTGTTCTCTCCAACAGCGATGGTGATTTTATGATGGTGAGATCCACAACCACAGGCCGTGAGAGCTACATTCCCACCAACTACACAGCCAAGGTGACACACAGGTAAGTCGAGATCATAGGAATATGTGTCTATTTACTCTATGTGTGTGTGTGTGTGTGTGTGTGTGTGTGTGAAAGACAGACAGAGAGAGAGACAGAGGGAGAGTGAGAGACAGAGAGAGAGAGAGACAGAGGGAGAGGGAGAGACAGAGAGAGAGGGAGAGACAGAGAGAGAAAGCGGAGGAGTTGTGAAAAGAGAAAATGTGAACAAGTGAAATGAATGACGGGGAGTTCCCTGTTGGGTGGGAGGAGTCTCTGTGTAGGTAAACTTTACCAGATGTTTGGAACAAGAGTGGCATGACATCAGCCTCTGCCTCCTGTAGTTTCAGTCCTCCTCCAGTGGGGAATGTGCTCTGATATTGTTCCAGTGGATTTTCCAAACTTGAAAACAACAGCTATATTTATATATATATCTGCATAGCAACACTGCCTTATTGTTTCAATATCTGTCTTCTCTCTGTTAGGTGGCTGTTCAAAGGCATTGGCAGGTACAAAGCAGTGGAGCTGCTCATGCAGCCCAATAACCAGAGTGGAGCCTTTTTGATCCGAGAGTCAGAGACACACAGAGGTGAGAGGGTTCTGTCTTTTTCATTATGAATTGCATAATAAACATATTATAATGATTCAAGCCCAACACTGTAGCATCAGCACGTAAAATGACCTTTACAATATTATGTTATCATTTTCATTGTTTCTAGTGCAGTCAATAGACTTTTTTTGTAGAAGTGACAGAATATTTTCATGCGCCAGATCATCGGAATGGCCTAATTTGCTTTAGAAACAACTGGGATTATGGATTCGGAAGCATAAGGAATATGAATCAGTGTTGCAATAAATGACTTGCAAAATTAAGAATCAGGACCTCTGTAGTTTAACTGCTGCATCTGTGTGTTATTTTGATGTTCAGATTGTTACTCGCTGTCTGTCCTGAAGCGCTCCAACTCTTCATATCTGGACGGTGTAAAGCACTACCGCATCTCTCACCTCCCAAATGGCTGGGTCTACATATCTCCAGGACTCACCTTCCCCTCCCTGCATTACCTGGTGGAACACTATACAGGTTTGTAGTGACAATGCGATTGTGTTTTCTTGCCTGAACATATCAGAGACAACTCCAAAAGGATGATATTAAAATGCTGCCTATTTCCCCAGGGGTTGCAGATGGATTGTGCTGTCGGTTGACAGAACCTTGCTTCATCCAGGGTTTTGACAACGCTAGAGAAGCCATGCCTATGCCCACAAATATCAGGAGGCCTACTATCAACTGGAAGGACATTAGCAGGTGTGGCAGACTCTCTGCTAATGTCTCTCTCTTGTCTCTACTGAGGATTGCCACAAGATGTCACTCTGTTACTTGTAGTAAAGCAGAGCACCAGCACCTGGTGGCATCCTGGTCAGAAAATAATTGACAAATCCCATCTTTGTGAGCATATTATTTTCAGTTGCTGTTGACACTGTCAGAAAGTTGTTGATTCAACTCTACAGTCATTTGTGATTCAGTGCTGAGTTAAGTGAGTGAGAAGAGTGTGCATACAATACCAGCAGATAAGCCTGTGGTTGCAGTGGGTACAGTAGATTCTAATTATTAAATACAGGTCAACTTCTGTCCATTTTCTCACACTAGATAAAAATAGTCCTAGACACTGCATACATGTTTGGGACATTGTGGCAAAAGAAAATTGCAGCACTTTTTATAACCAATACTGTGATCACTTCACTCACTCCTCCACGTCTTTGAAAATCCTTTTCTGTCTCCAGGTCAGTGATCTTCAGGAGGAAGAGAGCAGAGTCAGACAACTCTCTGGTGAGCGAGGGGCTGAGGGAGGCCATCACCTCCTACCTCCAAATGACAGAGGGCACCAATCACAGCTGGGACACTTGAACAAAGACAGTGGATCAGTCTGAGATTATGATGTCGGACAGACAGACAGATTGCTGTCAAATACTGTCTTGTCTCATCTGCAGTTTTGGCCACTGGAAAAGGTTGTCAGCACGCCCCAAATGTAGTCTTCGTTGGACGCTCTGGAGGGCTGAGACACTAAGATGTTTGGAGATGTGACATACTGTATGTCAGCCAGAAGAGTGTATTTAAAGAGGCACAAGGCGGAGGTGTGAGCTGAAAATTGAAAATCAGTGAGACATTTGTTCTCATTTGGTTTCAAAAGTTGAATGTTTCTCTTAATTTATAACCTCATATGTTTGATTGCAATATGCAATGTGTTATTTATATTGTAATATGATTATTGTCATGGTTATGTTATTGGAATCCAATGAAGTATGTTAGCTCTGTGATAAATGAACAAAACAAACATATAAAACACCTTCACACAAAAAAGTCAACTCAAGGCCATTATGGATTATGCTCTAAGGACATCCTACAATTGCAGGCCTTCAAGTTTGCTGTACCTTCTGCTTGGGACCTTCTTCAAAACTCATTGAAACTCAGTTTGTTTCAAATTTCAAGTATATGGATCAGGTGAATATTTGTCAGTGCCTTTGCTTATAAAATTGAATGTTGCCTTATTCAGTCAACTAGGAGGCTTGTGTTTATTTATGTCTGTCTAATTGCTGTCTTTTATATGTTTGAAACGTGTCCTTTATGTTCTTTTATGCTGCCTCTTAACAATGTCTCTCTTGCAAAAGAGATCACATGGTTAAATAAAGGTTAAATACATTTTTAAAAATCTGGTCTGTATTTTATTGGTATAATAATGTATCACAGTATCAAGTATCAAGGTAGTTTCTTTCTCTATCCAACACAAGGTTGTCCAGCAAAACAAAAGTTTAGTAATCCTGTCAAGCTACACACAAATATGGTAACGTATAAAATAAAACAATATAACGTATAGGCTACAGTTATTTACTTACATATACCTACAATTATACACCCAGGAAATAATTCTGCAGTGTATTTTTTATTTGCGTCTGAGAGAATGTAAATAGTAGCAACAAGATGGTGATGATAATGTGGTTTTCAACTTCACGTAAAAAATATGACAATTGGGAAATAGTGTCCATCAACTTTGACTGCGTTTGAGCACCAAGTAGCATCATCATCATCATCATCATAAGAGACGCACACTATGCAAGAATAAACAATCAAGTAGCTTCAATGGTATATACATTAAATACCACTGAAGGCATTTGAGTCTTGCAGAGTGTGCGTCTCTGCCAGCAGATGCCGCTTAATTACCTCCAATAATTCATCAAAGCCTTCCACTTCCTGCCCGAACAGTTCAGTTCAGGAAGAAGAAATAATGGCGACGCTTCTGGGGTCCGGGTCCCCTTGTACTGGAGGAAAACGAAGACATTGCACCAGCAATATCATTAAGAAGTTCACGGCCAGTAAAATTACTGGCCAGGGTTTCAGTCGAGGGACGCAGGTAGGAGAAACGATGCTTGTTTCGACAATAAAAGACATCCGAAAGTTGGTGTACGGAGACCAGGGACTTGCGCTTGGAATCCAGCCTGAAAATGAAGACGTTGTCCTGGAGACTTGACTGGAGATGCAGTCGCTGTGGCTTTACAGCTAGCTACAACATCACGGGGTGTTTTTAAAACGCAAACCTTACACTTTAACGCCACTGAGTTGCGCAAAAATAATATTTGCTAGCTGACAAGGCAAATAACATTAGCTAGCTCTTCAAAAGTGTAAGAAGCAAGCGACGCTTCAAGTGGATCTTTTGTTGTTAGCCAGACGTTAGCTTAGCATTATAGGCCAGGCTAACTACGATATAAAACGCTTTAAACTGAACCTTAGAGGGACTTCTGTGGTTTCTTTCTATCGGGACTCGGGGTGTCACGGCTACTAGAAAGCATGTAGTTTAATTTCGGGGCCGCTTAAATTGCAGAATCAGCGGCAGTAACATTTGCTAATGTTAGCAAACGGGGTAACGCCAGCTAGCTTGCTAAGCCAGCTGAACAGCTCAGGTGATTACGTAACGACTCACTAACCACAATAACTATCCTTTCCATAAATGGGTACGCCACAACAGCTGTTTGGACAAGTTAACGTTAGCAACTTTATTTATATTTCCACGCAAGCAAACATTTACCCGATATTTGTAACTTTGGAGCGCATAACTTATTTGTTCGGTTGGTTTACGCAAACTGTTTTGATTTTGACGGATATCCATGCACATGAACGTCGCAGACACATTCAGCCACTGAATGTGTTGCACTTTGTTCCTTGCACGAACCCCTAAATGGCAAAGCTGATAAACCAATTTATTCTTGTGCAGTCAGTGTCGTGCCTTTTTATATTCCTTGCTGACTTGCAGTTTTCAAGGTAATAGTGTGTTTCAGTGGTGAAGTGAAATCAAATTTGAATATCCCTGATAACCTTGGAAATATGGACAAGTTCGTGTTGAGTGTTTAGACATCTGCCATAACCTAAACATTATGCAACATACACTATTGTTAAGTCAGTGCTTTTCAGGCAGTAGGTCATCCTTAGTTTGCCAAAAGCAGTTGTTAAGAACATTCCTCAAGAAGGCCATCTTACTTCCTCTGTGCGACAGAGTTTGTTACTTGGAGTGGGAACTATTCTTGACACACAGTATTCCTCTGCATTAAATCAATATCAAATGTGCATAATAAACCCAATTTAATAGTTACAAAAATATGAATGCGTCCTCTGTTAATCAAGTGAGAGTTTTAAGCGAAGGAAGCTGTCTTTAGTGCTCACTGGGCTGCAGTGGTTGTCAGCATTGCATTTTTCAATTTTAAAATGGATGGATTGTAGATTGATACTTTTTGGTTTGTTTTTGGGGCCTCTGAATTCTTAGCTTTGCGGTATCGGCATATGAAAGTTCAATATCTTGAATGAGAAGAGTTATAGTGAGGCGTGTGCAAGATTATATTTTGGTCATATTGATTTCCATGACTTTGAAAGGCACTTAAGGACCAGTTGGGTGTATGCCAAGTTGATCAGCCACATATGCATACATTCACAATTTCTATTTTGGCCAAAATAAAGTTTCTGTCTGAAGCAGTGATACTTTTTCACCATGTGTATTATAGTGTTTAAGGTTGCCTTTGTTTATGTGTCCTTAGCTCCCAGGAGGCCTGCTCCAAGAGCGAGAGAAACGGGCCAAGTGGCATGGCATCCCTACTCTGCTGCAGAAGCTCTACGAGAGCAGCCATCCCAACAGTGACCTCTCACATGCCCACAACTTTCTTAAGGTAACCACACAGCACTAGTCCACCCAATAATGTGGAAGTGGAATTAATGGTTTTAGCCACTTGTTGCTAAAAGTTTCATTTTGATGGACTGGTGATGTAAATTACATGTGGACAATGGTTTTGTCAGGTATTATCATCCCAGCTCTCCATGGAGGCCATGTCTTTTGTTACGGAGGACCGCAAGACCGCTCAGGAATCCACCTTCCCCAACACATACACCTTTGACCTCTTTGGTGGAGTCAATGTAAGTTTGACATTCCTGGTGCTCAGTGCTCTTTAATTATTGGACTCCGGGACATTGAAGCTTGTGATCTCTGGGGAATCTGTTGTCATGTGTGGTACAACTCTTACTGAAAGACTCTATGCTCATTTTCCTGTTTCCCTGAAGCTGCTTGTGGAGATCTTAATGAGACCCACATTAACTATGCAGAAGAAAAACCCGAAAAGTAAGTAGGACTGACATCACGTCTGTGAATGTGTGTGATTTTTATTGGGAAGTTAATGTTTTTACATGATGATAATTGATATCATGGTAATTAGACCAATGTCTGTGTTTCTGTTACAGCAGTGAATGATGACTTGGTCAAGGACTGCCTTAGTATTCTCTACAACTGTTGTATATGTGTAAGTATCCTATTAGGATTTGTCCGTACCAGAGAAATGTTGATGTTCCTTATAACAGGTTTCAATTTAGCACATGTATAACTCTTAAATATTTTCCTTGCAGTTGGTTCTGGCTGTCTCAGAACAGAAGATTTGTTTCTGACAGGAATGGGCATGATTTAACCCTTTTGAAAACAGACAGACCACTGTTTACAGGATCCTGTTTAAACCAATCTTAAATAAAAAATGCAATGGCTAGAGCAGGAAGCTAAGGCTTCTGCTCTAGCCATTCAGGCCATCACGTTTTACGCTCGTGACGTAGTTGCATGCGGCAAAAATCGTGTGACAATGCGTGGTGGCCAGAGGAGCAGTGAGGCAGGTTGATGGGAACGTCTGAGAGAAGTTAAGAGAAATGCTAAGAGTCCATTTTTAGTATATAAGTCATAGTTAACATAGTAGCTCTAACGTAGTAGTAGTTGACAGGAACTGCCATCACAACTACCACAAGTGAACATATGGCACTTGCACAAATTAAATGTCTTTGTACTCCGATAAATGACATCACAATAAGCAAATATATCAGTGTAGGAATTGGTGGACCAGTTCAAAGACTTAATTGTTGTGCACATTTTCTCCTTCCCAAACATAGACAGAGGGGGTCACAAAGAGCCTGGCAGCGAGGGATGACTTTGTTCTGTTCCTTTTCACCCTGATGACAAACAAGAAGACCTTCCTACAGACTGCTACCCTAATTGAAGATATTCTTGGAGTCAAAAAGGTCAGAGTTGTACCTGAATTAAATCCTCAGGACAAGCATGTATACATTGTTTATGGCCCTGTTGACTCTTCAGATTTACTCCTCAGATGTGGAGGCTTGGTAGACGCGATTGTAGCTTGTGTGTCTCCTCAAAGAAATTACAATGACGTATTTATCTATATCTCTCAATTAACTATACATCATAGCTTCATTTACATTGCAAAGATCAGGTGGCTTTGTGTTGTCTCCTTCATATTTTTGGTCCTGGTAGTGTTAATTGATTTTGAAGGCAACAAGGAGCAGTTTGGTGAAAGCTTTTCCTGCTCAGTCAGATACATTAATATGATGTGATTTAGCAAACTTATTTACTGTTCAAGGTTACATAGTGCACAAGACTACCTCGTTATTGCTACGCACAACATGTCTATTATTTGCAATGGTTTTACAACAGATGGCATTTGCATTTATTTCAAAAAGCTACACCTATGATATGACCTCTGCAACGCCATGACAAATATAATTCTTTATATAAGCTAATCATGCTTTTCAGATAGAGGTGGTAAATGGACAAATATGCTAATAAGCAAAGGCAATTCTTGTTTGCAGAAACTCATTTTGTTGTAATGGAGATTTTAGTGTGAAAGCACAAGCAATCCTTGTGTGGATTAGTAGTCCCAGAGAAGCTAATGTATGTGTATGCATACCTTGCAAGGATTATGTACCAGCTCTAAAGAACACATCTTTACAAAGTGTTCTTACTTCCAGTAACCTGTCCTGAACATTTTTCGTTATTTCAGATCAGAATAGATCAAAACATCCTTGAAGAAAAAAAAAACATTGCTACAATCATGGTGGAGAAAACGTACAGGACACAATTAACCCTTTATCCATTATGCTGGTTGTTTGTTGCTAGTTTTGTAAATGAATATGTATGTTTAGTGTGTAAATGCTACTGATTGTCTGATTTCTGTCTGCTTTCCGATTGATATCAGTTCATATGTTTGCATTTTTCAGGAGATGATCCAGTTAGAGGGCATTCCTAATCTGTCAGGTCTGGTCCAAAGCTTTGACCAACAGCAGCTTGCCAACTTCTGTCGCATCTTATCTGTCACCATCTCAGAACCTGATGTAGGAAACGACGACAAGCACACACTGTTGGCCAAAAATGCCCAGCAGAAGCGCAATGCTAGCCCCTCACGGGCAGAGGTCAACCAGGGTAGGTTAGACTGACTACATAATGTATTTTGTGACATTGCAAAAGAATTGCTCAGTAAATTGTGATCTATCTATAATACTATTTCTCCAATAGTAACCCTGCTGAACATCCCTGGCTTCATTGAGCGGCTGTGTAAGCTGGCCACTAGAAAGGTGTCTGAAGCCACTGGAGCGAATTTCCTGCAGGAGCTGGAGGACTGGTACACATGGCTGGACAATGCTCTGGTGCTGGACGCCCTCATGCAGATGGCAACTGAGGAGGCTGAACAAAGCAGTACAGGTGAGAGAACAGTCCACGGTGCTGTTGGTTCCTCACACTGCTTAAATTCTGCTGTGTGAACTGTTAGATTTTTTTTTTTTGACCCCTCACCTTCAGAGTCATCAGATGAGAGTTCCCTGGCCACCAGCCCACTGAGACACAGACTACCCCAGTCCATGAAGATTGTCCATGAGATAATGTATAAAGTGGAAGTGCTCTATGTGCTATGTGTCCTTCTTATGGGCCGACAGAGGAACCAGGTACTTGACAGCACACCTGTTCACTCCTTGAAATTTCAGCCGGAGCGTTGGTCCAAGCAGAGTTAAACTGTGCGTTTCTCTTTGCCCTGTGTTGCGTGCCTGCGCAGGTCCACAAGATGCTGGCTGAGTTCCGTCTCATCCCGGGTCTCAATAACCTGTTTGACAAGCTCATCTGGAGGAAATACACTGCTTCAAATCATGTGGTGCATGGCCAGAATGAGAACTGCGACTGTAGTCCGGTATGAGGTTTTAACCCCAACACTATCCTTGGAAACTGGTCAATTAAATTGCACTTCTTCAAAAGTTTAACATAACCATTAACATTCTTTGTTCTCATCGTTCAGGAAATATCATTCAAAATCCAGTTCT